ATCTTCTTAAATGTTCTACTACCTCTTAGCATTACCTCACTGTGGCCATACCACTAACAAATGAATCTTTAGGGAACATACTCAGATCGTATCTGAAATATAATGTTCAAATCATGTAAAACAAACCCCAAATTGTATTGACTGATTGACAGATCGATAAAGACAGGGTTCCATGCTGGTTTGGGGATGACCTTGAATTTGTGATCTTTCTACCTCTGCTTCCTGAGTGCTGGAATTACAAGTTGGGTGCTATTAGGTCCTGTTTATGTTGTTCTGAGGATGCATCCCAGAAATCTGTACACAATAGGAGAGGACTCTACCAACTGAGCTATATTCTTTTTCCTCCCCTGAGCTATATTTTTAGCTCATAAACCCAAACTGAACAAGTCCTTACCACTGCTTACCTGTGTTACACCTGGGCCAAATTTCAGCCTGATCTCAGAAGGGACAAACCATGTTTGTCACATCCAGCATGGCAGCAAGGATGAATCTGACTGGGACAGCAATGAAGAAGAGACAAACACACAGACACATAGAAAAGCTAGGATAGGCCCTCCACTAGAGAAACAAAGCATTTGAAAAGGGCAGCATGTACTTTTTGTGTTTATTTTGTAACTCTTGAAAAGTGTATTTATTGAATAGCTTTTGTTACCATAGTTATAAGATAAGAAAACAAAACCTTAAATTCAAGGTAAAAAAAAACCAAAACAAACAAACAAACAAACAAACAAACAAACAAACTTCTGGAATGATCCACTCTTCAAATTTTATATCATGTAAAAATAATGTCAACACAAGGTTGTTTTTAAACAGGGTCAAAGTTAAATTTATTTCAAAGTTCCAAAATCCCCTAAGTTGATTTTCTGAGTCATTGTTGTTTATTTCTATATTATTTTTAAATTCCAGGCTGGGCATAGTAGTACATGCCTTTAATCCCAGCAGTCAGGAGGTAGAGGCAAGCGGATCTCTGAGTTTGAGGCCAGTCTGGTGTACTGAGTGATTCCAACATAGCCAGGGATACAAAGAGAAACCTTGCCTTGAAAAAATTAAAAAGAAAAATATGTCCACATATGGATATGGATACATGTGTCCATATTTAATATATATAAATAAAAATATGTAACTACAGTTGGTGAATGAAATGGCAATAATTGATAATATTTTTAAAGTTTGTTGGGTTTTGCTTTTTTTTTTTTTTTTTTTTTTTGAGACAGGGTTTCTTTGTGAGCCTTGGCTGTCCTAGACTTCCTTTGTAGACCACTTTGGCCTTGAACTTGAAAAGATCTGCCTGCCTCTGCTCCCCAGAGTGCTGGGCTTACAGTCATGCGCCACCAAGCCCGGTGGGTTTTTGCTTTTTTAAAATAGGGTTTCTCTGTGTATGTAGTCCTGGCCATCCTGGAGCTTGCTCTGTAGACCATTCTGCCCTTGAAATTAGGGCTCTGCTGCCTCTGCCTACTGAGTGCTGCGACTAAAGGTATGTTCCACTAATGCCTGGCAAAGCTTTAATTTTTTCAAAATTTAATGCACTAAAAAGAACTCAAATTGTAAATCTTAGCTCCTTAAATGCATATTAAGGAAGTGATTATTTAATCATTAAAAAAGTACTGATGTCTGAATAATATTTAGATAAAACCCAGATACATTGGTTATGCATGCAAGGAGCTCAGAAGACAACTGGTTTTAATGTCCAATATGAAGATAAACATATTAACAATTAACAGCTTTTCTCAGATCTGTAAAAGAGGTAAGGATTTGGGGTAGCCACTGTCTCCAAATCTGGAAAGACACGGTCTCTGAGTACAGATAGAAACAAGGACCAGAACTAGGGCTGAAAATGTCATCATAGCAAACTGTCTCAGTTGCTTTTCTATTGCTGTAACAAAACACCAAGTCAACTTCTAAAAGAAATCATTTAATTTGGGGCTCACAGTCCCAGAAGGTTAGAATCCATGCCCATCATGCCAGGGAGCATGACTGCAGGCAGGCAGTCAAAGCGCTGGTGTAGTAGCTGAGCGCTCCCATTTTGAGACACAACTAACAGGCAAGGAGAGTTAGCTGGAAATGGCATGAGCTTTTGAAACCTCAAAGCCTGGCCCCAGGGACATACCTCCTACAACAAGGCTACACCTCCTAATCCTTTCTAAACAGCTCCATAACCTGAGGAACAAATGTATGAAATATACTTGAAATATATATATATTTTGAATATACTTGAAATATATATATATTTTGAATATACTTGATATATATATATTTTGAATATACTTGATATATATATATATAGGTTCATATACATTAAATATATGAACCTTTTGGGGACATTCTCATTTAAACCACCACACTGATGAGTTGCTGGAGGCTCAGAGTGGGCGATTCTGAGGGTGACCTAGTCATAGGGAAACTTCCTAATTCTGCTGTTATACCTCTAGGTTTTGGTCCTGTGTTCTCCCAGTAAATATGAGGGGGAAAATCCCCTTATTTATCCAGCAAAGGGCAAAGAAAAGATAAATATGAAATACAACAGAGAACTCTATTAAGAAGGCTTCGTCTAAAAAAGAAGCAAAGAACAGAAAACCTAATCAGTTAACTCTGGTCTGTTGGAATTTTGTCAGATCCTACCTGAACTATGAGATAAAATATCAAATTCCAGTCATCTGTACCTTTCTATGGGGGAGACAAGCTTAGATCACTTGATGGTCCTATGTCTCTGAGACTGAGGAGAATAGCAAAGTCCTCAGTTCAACTCCACAAGCCCAGTTTGAAGACCAAATGCTATGTAGCTGCTTCAGAATGTGTCTTCATTCCCTTAGTGCCACATTTCAAGGACTTACAGTAATTCCCTTTAACTGGTACATTATGTTCAGCTATCAAGAAAAAAAAATAAAAGGTTTATCAAACAGAATAGAAACATGATTTGAAGAGACTGAACAAAGTATCAGAAACACATGGCAGGCGTGTTGGAATTATCAGAGTAGGAATGAAAATAATTTATGTGTTGAGAGCAAGGCAGCAGCAGGCAAGGACAGATGAGAATGTCACTGGGAGGAAGGAAATCTCTTTTGTTTGTTTTTGGAAAAGGGGTCCTTCCTTCCTTCCTTCCTTCCTTCCTTCCTTCCTTCCTTCCTTCC